GATGAGAATTATCTGTGGATCACAAATTCCGTGACCATGGGCTGTTGGCGTTATGTACTCAAACGGGATTAACATCCTCCGCTCTGACCCCGGGAGGAACTGTGGCCGCTTTGACACAGCTCAGCGAAAGCGCAGCCACAGGGTCATGTACCGAGCGAGGACCATAGACGCGCGGACAGAATCATTCACGCGCGATCAGGACCGAGACCCGCACGTGCTGGTCTTGCCCGTCTCCCCCGTCACTCCCCCATGTCTCTCCCCCGTCTCCCCGAAGTCTCCACACAAAGCGCAGCCAAAAAAAAATTGAAATTTAATTTAGGCTCAGGTACCTACATTTTCGCTTGCATTGACAATGCATGTTATTTGTGCAAAAAATAAAATGTTGTGGACAAATCAAACAAAACAAACCACAGCAGTCGTGTTTTGTTTATTTAGCTTACTTTAGAAAGAGAAATGTGAGTCATTATTTAACTTTTTGGGCTGAGAGTGGATTTTTTATATATATATTTTTTACGCAAACAGACAAACGGACATACAGACACACAGTAACACACGGACAGACATACACCATTAGAATTTCAGTATTGTGTCCATCCTACCCGCCGTGCGCCTGATGCTGCAGCTCAGTCTAACACTGTCCCAGAGATAATCTTTACAATGGAATGGAGTTGTTTGATCATTTGGGGCTAAAAGTCTGTGATCAAAGCATCCCAGGAGCCTCTGGGGCATTTCTGAGCTCCGTCTGCAGACATCGTACTTGCAGTGAGCTCCCATTCCAAAGCCATACAGCACAAAGTTACATTATGGTCAACAATATAGGCCAGTACAGACAGACTCGCTCCACATTTTTTTCCCCATTATTTTTTTCCTTTGCCTTACTATGGCTTTGGGCTATAACAATCTCATAATGACCACCGCTCTACTAAGGTTTTGGTGGCAATTTTGTTAAAATGGCTTCGGAGAATTAAGTAAGGGGCTGAAATTGCATCAAATTGTGACATATCAAAGTGAATGGGTCCTGCATTAAATTACATAAAAACAAGATAGAAACAATCACACCAAGAATCAACAGTTCATTGAAAAAAGTGAATATAAAAAATTTGAACATTGCCAGAGTAGTCTCATATTGTCAGGAATACATAAATCTGAAACGCTGCCTCCCCATGTTTAATCCAGAGTCAAGGGTGTAACGCATCGGCAGCCTCTGAAAGATTCCCTGGCCTGGTGTGACGAGTCTCTTCTCAGCTGTTGTTACCGGGTGCGGACCGTTCCACCAGACTGACCATGCCCCCCCCTTGGTCCCACGTGTGAGCCAAGGTGAATGCCCCCTTTGTCTCTGTTGATGGTCGGTTCTCCCTTTCCCTCATCTGCAGTAAACTGCCTCCCGTTTACATTCATGTTCTTCTGCTCTTTCCTTGTCCAAGTCCATTATATGAATTTCTCTCTGGTAATAGATAGATAGATACTTTATTGATCCACCATAGAAGAAACTCAGGTGTCCAGCAGCAGAAAACGCATCCATATAAACACATCCATTATACAAATTCTAACTAACTATACAACTACTGTATATACAGCTAACTAGAACATTTCTACTAACTATCAAACAAGCCGAGGGAACAAAGGATCTCTTAAAACGTTCCGTTCGGCAGCAGAGTGATATAAGCCTGTTGCCACGATAACTCCTCTGAGCGGCCATAGTGTCATGCAGAGGGTGTCTGGAGTTACCCAGGATGCCCTGCAGAAGAGCCCTCATTCTTCTCACCAGCACAGCTCCCACAGAGTCCACACTTCTCCCCATCACAGAAACACATTTCCTGATCAGCCTGTCGAGCCGGTTGCTGTCAGATTTTGCTGCTTTGAGTTTTTCTTGTGTTGCCTTTTTCTTTATTCATTGAGTTTGTCCTTCTGCTGTTTCTTTCCACGTTAGAAAAAACACAGTATTTTTATCATTTGAAATTTTTGACAACATTGTATATTCATATCGGCATGGTTGGTGATTAAAAACAGTCAAGTGTCCAGATGTTGAGAAAGTTTTGCATGTTTGACAAATTTCCCTTCAAGGCCAATATAGCTGAAACCTTGAAAAACACAGCATTAGTTTAATAATAATTTGTAAAGTGCATTTTATATTAAATGGGGCTAAGGGGACTCGAAGAGAAGCCATGTGACTTGTTTCTTTCACATCTTTTAAGCTCAATTCAATTCAGAGCCACGGGTGTCATGTAACATCATATTATAGAGAACAGATTTATGCTGTGTCCCATTTATACAAGGTTTGAATAATAAACCATAGACTGTACATTGGCTGGTCTGGTTTTTGTGTGTGGAATAAAATCTTTCATAACATCTTTCATCTTTCACGTCTGTAAGTACCCATGAGTACCAGCTGAGCTAAACGAAGCCGTGCAGAGTTCTCCTGGTCCTTGTTGTAAAGTTGCCGTGTGATTTGTCAGAACCCAGCGCCGCGGCTAAGGCCTCCTCACTGCTGCACCATTGGGTCTATCCAACTGCACTTTCCCCCACGGTATCTCTATCAAAGATACAAAATCAAACAATGCTATTCTGTGTATCTCAAAGCCCAGAAAAATTCGCCGTTTCCAACCTCTGCCATTGTTCCAGTGATGTCAGCCGGTCTTTGAATGTGTCGTGGTCTTTTGAACGGCTCATCTCCCTTGTCGGCTCAAATAATACCTGCGGATATAGTGCGGAGCGAGACATAGGAAAGCCAATTGGCCGCGTGATCCTAAAGAAATGGATCGGCTCAGGTATGAATCCAAAATAAAACACAATTTTTCCTGAATGGCATCTGAGCGACTGGAGGTGTACTGTGCTACTGGTTCCAGCTTCCTGTTTGGAACCTTTGGAAGACCATTTTCCCATTCGAAAGATGTATATTTCTGTTTTGAATCATCAATTAGTATGGCGTCACAACTTTCCAAAGAGCCCACACTTTAAGATTGTGGTTGAGGGCAGCTGGAAAATCTCTCCTGGTATCTGTGGTAACAGTCAAAAGCCTTACTTCTATCTTAATTCAGAGCACACGTGGTTGGCCCAGGGATTACAACGTTCTACAACTTCTTTGAAATGGTGACAATATTTAAAAACATATGCATGATGTTGCTCAGACATAAGAATAATATGGCGGGTTTGTCAGTCACTCAAAAAATGATATGGTGAAACATTTTCACATTTTGTTTTTCAAAATGGTTTCTTTCCCATGGAGATGTATTGGAACCTTCCCTCCAACTCACTTCCATGAAATAAATATATTTATGATTCATGTACAGCCCAAAATCACAACAGCAGTCGTCTCGGAGGTCTATACAACATTGTCAATTCACCAACATCAGATCAATCAAATTGTTCGAACATAGGAATAATAAGATAGAAAAAGGAGCCATTAGTCCATTTCCAACTGAAATTGAACATCCATCCATCCATTTTCTTCCCCTTTGTCCACTTCTGGGTCGGGGGCATCAGAGCTGGACCCAATCCACACAGCACCAGTCCCTCACTGATGGTGGTGAGTCCCCTGGAGGATGGCTTCTCTGTCAGAGACAAAACGGCCTTGATCTTTCAGCGAGGGCTTTAGGCAAAGTGGGGTTGCATGTCTTGCCCAAGGAAACCACAATAACAGACATCAGTGGGAGTCGGTGGAGAAGGTCTTGTAGTGACCTCGAACCCAAGACTTCCAGGCTCAAAGGTCAATGCTCTACCAACTGAGCCCCTGTCTGACATTATAGAAATGATGTAATGTAGCAAAGTTTCTATGATATAGACTATTGAGTATATTCCGGTTTCCATGGAGATGTCAATGCAACATAATGCTCTGAAATAAAGTATGCTCTATAATGTCTTTATTCATTTACTGGTGCTTTAACGCTGGCCTAAATTTGTAATCATACCGTGAATGGGGATGGTTTTCTATAGCGTTGACCTCGCAGTTCATGGTCCAGACGTGGCGACCGTTTGTCTCTACAGAAAATACACACTTAAACACATGAAGAAAGAGACAAGGTGGATCATGCAGTACAGTATTCAAAAAAAGGCCTTGTACACAGTTATAATGGATTCAGCACTTCAAACCAGTGGAGAGCGGAATAGGAATAGCCATGGATATTCTGAAGTGAAAAATGGTATTGCAAAATATGTCTTTAGCAAGCCTTTAAATCTGCTCTTTGCACAGTGTTGAGTGGCCAAGTAACATTAGAATATATATACTATTGTTAGTGCCACTAGCAACCCCAGAAAACAGATAAGGATCTCTGAAAACTCAGAAAATATGAATGTTGTTCTAAAGTTCAATTATTTCTGTAAATCAACTTAAAACGTGAAACCAACACATGATTTAGACATATTACAAATTGAAATATACCAAGCCTTTGTTTGTTATAATTGTGATGATAACACAATTCATCAACATTTTACCAGATAAAGGTTTAATATATCTCATTTAGCATCAATCATTTATCAGTTTATCAAGTTGATACAGAATTAAATTGTTTTTTTCTCCTTCTCTAAATGTTCCAAGTTTCATCTGTATCCACATATCTGACTTTCCAAGGGCTGTATCATTCAGGCCTGCCAACACAATACACATATTGATACACGGGACATCCTATTTGATATATATTTCTATACAATATTTTAAGATTCAGTAGAAAAAAACTGTAAAAAAAAAGAAGCTGTTCACAGTTTATTCATAAAGAGCTTCTCATCCAAAAAACACATGCCCACACCCTGTCAACCCGACCGCCCAACAGACCCTGCCCACCCTAACCCTACATGTGGATTTAGCTGAACTATACTTTTTAAAATAACTTTTTTTAAATAAAGATTGTGATAAAATACGCTATTCCATAAGTTCCTAGTTGTTATAAAAAGTCAATAGACGAATAAAATGGGAAACGTTCTTTGTTTACAGGTCTGACAAAAAACAAAAACACTCAAAAACAACTTTAGGGGAATTAGCAGCCCAGGAGTTTCCTGCACCACGTTCAATGCTTCTTCTCCAACTTCAGCTCCATGGCCAACCACTTCTCCTCCAGCACTGCAGGGAGCGCTCTTCCTCTGCTTTCTTTAGATTTTGAGACTTTACTGCCAACAAAGAGCAGTCCTCTTCTGTTTTCATCAGCTTTTGTTTTAACGCACTGGACTTAACCTCCAGCAGGGAGCGCTCTTCTTCTGATTCCATTCGTGTTTGGGAAAAAACATTGAACTTTACCTTCAGCAGAGACCACTCTGTTGGCCTCTTCTTCTGTTCGGAGTCGGGCCTGAACCTCCTGAACCTGCAGCTTCAGATTGATCTTCCGGTCCCTGGACTTGTTGATCACGTCTTTCATCACATCCATCTCCATGTCTTTATATTGGATTTTCTGACGCATGAATATCTTCTCTTCAGTCTCTTCTTGCAGTCGCCCGTCCAGTTTGCCAAAATAGAAGATCATAGAACCTCTATAACACAGGAAGGTGAGTTTCTATGGAAATTGAATGCCAAATAGAATAAGAATCAGTATGTTTAAAAACAAAAAAGTTCTGTCACTGATCATTTATTTCCCAGACTGTCAATATAGATGCAATGGAATGTATTATAATTTAGCAAACAACAGACTTCTCAAATGCCCCGCCCCATTTTTAGGAGAACCATTGATGCATTATGTCTCTTTTTGAATTCTGAATTGTTATTAACATAAATATATCTATATAATTAATGGGTTGAAAATGGAAGGATTGATGAATAAATAAATCAATACAAAATCTATACATATATACATTTGTAGGAAAAAAAAACCACTGTTACTAAATAAAAACTATATGTCTACAGCACACCCCTAGGCTTTACATTACACGCACAGGGAAACTGGCATTCTGGCTAACATAGTTCCTCAAATACCCATCCAAATCCAGCTTACAGACAGCTTCCTCCACAGACAGGAGGAGACGACATCCATAGACTTCCAGCAGCTTTATGGCAGACCCGGGACATGCCTGGACTCCCGATGACTAATGAACGCATCATTATCAGCAGAGCACGATGACTGTGCTCCTCCGATTCTGCTGACGGACGACTCGGAGCAACACAGGGCTGTCTGCACCGCTTTCTGTTACTGCCATTATGCTTTATTCCTCCCCGGGCCTGACTTTATCCCAGTGTTGTGACTGCGGTAATGCGAGTGGACATAATCAAGTAGCCGAACACAGTGGCCTTCATGGGAGCTTTGGCACATTCAGACTATTTGGAGGAAATAAGGGCTCTCATTACTCCCAGCTCGTAACTGTCAGGTTTTTTGACAAGACAATCTCAACATGCTATGCTCCAGCCAATTTGAGATATGAACGTGTTGTTTTGTGATGAGTGCGTGCAAATGCTTCTGACGGGGAAAGGAAATATGCACGGTAAATAATGGTGGATGCATGCTACAGTGCGACAAAGAGACGCTTTATATTTTTTGGTTTTGAGGAAATATTATGCATTGTTTTTAACCATTCAAAATGATAAAGAGACTGTTTAATTTGTCATGTAATGTTTTAGAATGTGACATATATTTAGAAAAAAGTATGGTGAAACAAGTATGAGAGGTGAGAAATTGCTTTTCGCCTGTAACTCTATGCTACCACCAGGGGGAGGTGTGTTTTGTTTCCCACGCTGCTGGAAACAGTGATTGTAAAGAATTCTTATTTCACCTGAGAAACTAAGGCTGAGTTTACACGGAGACAATGTGGCAGTAAAACGCTATAGTTGGATGTCGGCTTCTACCAAGCGTTCATACGAAGACTGTGTTCCAGGGGGGTGAAAACGTAAGTGTTCAGATCCAGCCTGCAGAGTGGGACAGCTCAGATACGCTGCACAGCGGGGGCTCTCTTTCACACCCGCGAGAGGGGACAAGGTGTGAAATCCCCCTCTGCTCTGACCCCCGCCTCCGCACTGCTCCCCGCACGTAAATTTGGACATGCGCAGTAGCGGAGAACAAACAAAAACAACAATGGCGGCAGGTACACTAACTAGCTTCATGGGCTTCCAGCGCTGCACAGAGGATAATTCTACTCCTTCGTTCGTCCAAACGAGACCACGCGAAGCTCTAGGTTCAGTTTCCATTTTCACAGCTGCTGTTAAAATGCAGAATGATGTTGGTACGTTCTGAGGGTCTGGCACAGGAAGTGAGTATACTGCCGGGAGAGGGCTGGGCACGGGGCTGGGGGTCGTGTGAGTGTTGTAAAGTTTCTCTGCCCACTACTGGCCGGGCGCTAGAACTACATCGTTTTTCAACCTCATGTGAACGCTGAGAAATTTGTATTAGGAGCCTGGTCGTTTCTGTTAATAGCCTGGAAACGTCTGTGCAGCGTCTCAGTATAAACAGGGCCTAAGAAATAATTCACGGACAATACTTTTATGTTCAAAGGAGAAAACTGTACAATATATGACAACATAGAGGTTTCACTATTACAGGACTCATGCTGCTTTCATGCGATCTCAGAAACTCTGAAGTTCTGAAAATTTGGAATAAACGCTGCTCAAGATTTAAAAAAGCGATGCCTTTTAGATCACACTGATGGTTTTACGTCCCACAAAAAATATATACAAATTAAATCAATAAATATCAATTTCAAATTTGTATTGGTGAATTAATGGCACAAAATGAATATCTAAGATTTTATATGTATAAACACTTTTTATTATAAGGAACACATTGTTTGTTCTTGTATTTCTCATATCCCAGGAAGGTTTATGTGCCGTTCTCATGAATGAGTGAAAAGAATCAATTACTTTTCTGCACATTTTTGTATTGTCGTTGTCACTGCTGTGTGTGTGTCTGTCCAGTGTCACCGGCTCCACATGAACACTATGATTTTGGGAAGTCTTAAAATCACCTAGATCTCTCTGTGATGAATTCTTTCTCACTTGCTCCAAAATGGATTCTGTGCCACTATCACAAATATGTGTTGATATATGAGGAAGATTGTTCTGCAGATTCAAGACGATCTGAGCTTTACTGTGGGAACTACAGCACGTCTGCACTGGCGGAGCTGAAGTTGGCTGGATAACACTGTGAACTAACCTCCTGCCTGCATGGGAACTTCCTCAGTCCTGCACCGCACAGCCTGATGTATCCTGTCCGTCTTCCCACTGTTTTTTATTTTTGAGTCGTTACTTGCCGATGTGGGAGGGTCTAAGAGTGATGATGATTACAATGATGAAAACAAATAATACATTATACTTACTGTACATACTTTTTTGGACACTCAAAGACGCTTTACAAAGGGACAAATAGGAAACAAAATAAAAAGCTAAAATAAACAATTATGTTCAGGCAGTTTTGAACAGGTGGCATTTGATCAGTGATTTGAAGTTTTGAAATGATCCAAGATATTTAAGCACATTTATGGACATGGTTATCCCTCTCCATATGGGCCAACGTCTCCTTTCCAATCCAATCCAATCCACTTTATTTATATAGCACATTTCATAAACACGCAGTTTCCAAAGTGCTATACAACATGCAAAATGGCAACAAATAAATACACACATTTATATAAAAAATAAAAATAATAAATAAATAAAAATAAATACACAGAGGACCACACGACTCACGCTTTGTGTTTGTTATTATTGCATTTCCTATGATTCTCTGATTTGTTGTTGAGGAATTGACATCTTTACAAAAATTAGATGAATTGAAATTTAAAACCAAAAGGCTTTCAGGCTTTTTTTTGGCTTTACTTATCAATGCACCAGTTTTACGCATAGATTTGTTTTTTTTCTACAACTGCATCTTGCCTTCAGCCTGTAGTACTGTAGGTCGCTGCGCTGGAGCTGAACCCGGCTCTGTGTGTGGAAGCTTGGGGTTGAGAGAGAGAGAGGGAGAGAGAGAGGGAGAGAGAGAGGAGAGAGAGATGCAGAGAGAGGGAGATACAGAGTCAGTCAGAGAGAGATACTCAGAGAGAGATACAGAGAGAGAGAAAGAGCCCCAGTGTTGCTTTAAGCGTGTGTGCTGCCGTGGACTTTCTCTACTCTACTCTCTCTTGTCTTGAGTCGGAGGAGGGGCCCGGACACAGCGACTCTCATCACTGCGCCTGGGAGAACTGTGGAGAGGAGCGCGCTCACCTGCCCGCGCCACAGCCACAGCCACAGCCACAGCCAGCACCAACCACCACAACCTGAGGAAGGAAACTCAACTCATTCCACGCTGACACACGAGGAGGGACGTACCAGCCTGCTTGGAATATTACCCAACACTCACTCGCATAACAATAATAATAATACATACATTCATTTTTGGAGAGAGAGCGCGGATACGCATTGGAGATCGGACCCCTTCTTTCTATTTTACGCGTGGCATCTTTCGCCTATTGGCAGCGGAGGCTTTTTTGCTCCACATCATGAGACCTGCAGCAGACTTCGCGGTGGTCCTCACTGCAGTCCTGCTTTTTGATTCAGTCTGGGTGAGTCTTTCCTAAACTAAAATATACCCAAAATAAGAATCTTTGTTCGCTGTGTCGCTACTGTGGGAATAGGAGAGGACGCAGCATCCCCTTTTGAGTCACCAGCGCTTGCAGCTCCTCATTCACGCATAAGTGGGGCTACTGCAACCCCAAAACAGCTTTAAGTTAATATTATGCTGCTATATGATTTGGCACTGTGCTGCTATGCTTGGCTGAGGCGTGCACACCTGCGAAATCGTGCGTTAGGTTAAGTTTATCCATCGCAAAGAACACTCCTCTCTATCATCCAAGCGTAGTTGCCCAAATAGTACAGCTTCAAACCAGCTCTTTTGCCTGAGTCTTTGTCAAGTTCTCCCATTAGAAATAAGCCTGATCTATGCTCCTTCTCTTACTACCGCTGAGTAAATGTCTAAACTTACTGGAACAAGATCATTCCCTTTTGTCTGTGTGCGTTCAAAGAGCGCTATAGTGGCTCGTCTCCATCTGACTTCATGCATATGCAGCCTTGGCACGGGTTCATGTCTGCGCACACTCTCGCGGATGTGGCTGGAAAGTGGAGCGCAAATCAGACCAGAGCATTTGGCAAAGAGAGAGACGTGGAGCTAGAGGAGCAGACCATGTGGCGATACCAAAGTTATTCCCCAGATAATGGCGCGTTTGGGAAGTTTTAATGGTTTGGCTGAAGAGTAGTTTCTATGGCTATAGGGAGGTAGGGTATTAGAAGGATAGGAGCTTGCATCATGATGGGAAGAATGCAGTGTAATGAGACAGCAGTGGGAAGACCTGTGTAATTCTTGCTTGTAAAATGGTTTGGATTTGACTAGTATACTATAGGTATGCACCAGGGAGACTGAGCGTGAGAGTGGCACACGCACCCTAATCTCAAAGTAGAATATCTTGTACTCAATTCAAACAAGTTGAGTGGACAATCACAGACGTTTTACTCAATGATTCAATAAAGGTGATTTGAATAAAGTTTGCACGTTACTGTCACTCAATCTCAACA